AGCAGAGACGGTAAATACTTACAGTCCCAAAACGCACACGCCATCTGGAACGTAAAGAAGTTTTAAATTCTGAACTCTGCTGAACTCTTGCCCAGGGAGTGCGAATTCAGTCTGCAGATGGCTTTTTTTTTCAACAGGCATCAGTATCTTAACTGAAATAATGTTTATCGTTCCTTCATCTTCTTGTGAACTGGTTAGCTGTGTTGAGCAATAAGACTTTGTTCTGTTTAAGTAGCAAACTATTATCAAATAAATAAATAAATAAATGCCTACCATCCCTGTCCTAATATTCCTGTCAGCGTTCCAAATATCATCCAGAATTAAATCAGAGTCCAAGGCAGAACTTTCCTCAAACTTCCAATTTATTAAGAGAGACATGTTGGTACAATCTGTGGAAAACCCAAATCTGAAAGCTTCCTGGGGTTTCCACCCAGTTGAAAGTTCATGATCTTGCCCCTGTACCCACAAGTCCATCACATGGTCCAATCTTCCTCTGGCACGTTGGCATTTCCACCCATCCACTTCAGGTCAGGTGCAGAGGTGCGGAGACAAAGGATGACCTTGGGCTTCTAGAAAGGAATGTTTTATTTTATTTTATTTTTTTCAAAAGTTTTATTTTCTTTTAAAACAAACATTTCATCATTCCTCAATCAGTGAGACATCGGAGTACAATTTTTTTTGGTGTCAAAATAGTTCNCCTGTTCCCAGTGTGCACATGCGCAGACGAAGGGAACAGCTAAACAACTGAGGTCAACTTGGAAGTAAGGCCACAGGTGAATGATGAATGTCCCCTCCCAGAGGAAATTAAAGAAGAGCGAAAGCGGAGTGGAGTTTGCAGGAGATTCCTTGCCAAGTTTTGCAGATATCGGCCTGTCAGCTCTCCAAGTCAGATAAGGTCTATGACTGTAAATCCTCCCTTGAAAGTCTTGGTTGCATGTGAATGAGCAGAATTCACAGTAAATTAATAAAAGGGTTTTTTGTCGGGACAAGGAGTTTTCTTCATGCTCTTAGGACGCCTCGGTCGGAACACCAATCTCAGAAGGAGATAAGACTGGGTCAAGCTTGAGCCCGTCAGGATCGAACTCCAGACTGTGGGCAGAGTTAGCCTGCAATACTGCATTCTAACCACTACACCACCAGGGCTTTATTTATTCTTGCTGCGTTCCCTTGTCATGGTTTATTTTATTTTACTTCTGTTCTGTTTACACCCCTGTCATTTTTCTTCCTTTCTATTATTGCAAGCTGTCTAGAATAGCCCCAGGGTGGGGTGATACAGAAGGCAAATAAACTTAGCAAGTAAATAGAATACAATAAAATAAATAACCATGTTGGATTGAAATTGAGAATGAACATGTCCGTGTCCATTCATCATCATCTGTCAGGGTCTTTCCATGCATAGATCTCTTTCAATGGCCAGCTGAAGAGTATGGAAAAAAAAAATGAAGCCACTGATGGCTCAGCAATTAAAGGCATTGAGCTTGTCAGCTGGGAAGCTGATAGTCCGGGTTTGAGACCCTGAGTGCTGCACAATGGGTGAGCTCCTGTTCTTGCCTGAGCTCCTGTCACCTAGCAGTTTTGTTGTTGTTGTTAGTTGCGAAGTCATGTTCGACCCATCACAACCCCATGGACAATGTTCCTCCAGGCCTTCCTGTCCTCTACCATCCTCTGGAGTCCATTTAAGCTCACACCTACTACTTTGGTGACTCCATCCAGCCACCTCATTCTCTGCTGTTCCCTTCTTCTTTTCCACTCAATCGTTCCCAGCATGAGGATCTTCTCCAGTGAGTCCTTCCTTCTCATTAGGTGGCCAAAGTCTTTGAGTTTCCTCTTCAGGATCTGGCCTTCTAAAGAGCAGTCAGGGTTGACCTCCTCTAGGACTGACAGGTTGGATCCTCTTGCAGTCCAAGGGACTCGCAGGAGTCTTCTCCGGCACCATATGAAGAATGGTTGCAGAAGTTGGGTTC